AAATTTTAACAATGCAAATGTTTCATAATACGTTTTTATTTTTAATCATTGATGCATCGAACATGACAGCACACTTGTATTCAGGGATGCCATAAGATTATGTGCATTTACCTAAAATGATTTTTATTTTTGAATTTTTAATTGAAGTTCACCAAAGCCAATAACAAGTATTATGTTTCAAATATAGTCTAGTTGAATTACTCTAAAGGAGATATGTATAGAAGGAGACAAATAACTCTGGAACCAATAATGTAAGAATTTTTATGAAATTGGGATTGTCACAAGTGACAAATATGACTGAATGTGGATAGATCTCAAGGGAGAACATTTTACTTATAAATATTTGGATTGAAAATATATACACAATACCTGGGAGCTTTTTAGTCATTTCATTTTCACCATCGTATTTTTCAAATAGTGTCTGAGTGATATAGAAAAAAATCTAACACATGTTTCAAAATCCATCTCATGGAACTCTCAGATGATCCAGAACCACAAACTATCATCTTTGGATTCTTTTGATCCAGGTACCTGGTCATATAGTTTGGAGACCTACTTACAGTCCTGGCCATCCACTTTGAATCTTTTCTCCACATCTATGTATACTTCTTTATCTACAACCTGTCCTTGGCTGAAATTTGATCTCTACCAGTGTTCTAAACCTGATTATGGAAATCAAAGTTCAAAGTTATTTCTTATGTTAGGTTTCTACTGCAGATGGTTCTTTTATCTCTTTTGGATATGGATGATTTTATCTTGAGTGTGATGATTTATGACTAATTTTTGGATATCTCTCACAAGCTTCATTACTTAGTCATCATGAAACCTCACCTTTCTGACTTCCCCGTTTTGGTTACATTATTTTTGTTTTGTTTAGACATTTGTACTCTTAGGTGAACAATTTGTTTGCCTAACAATGTACCTATTTAAAAATGTTGAAATTGCTCATTTTCCCATTACACTGCCCACTTTTTAAATTTTGTGTTTTGACAAATTCATCAATAGTATTATCAAGTGTTTTGCTGGTGCAATATTTATTTGTATTCTTGTCCTTGGGTTCCTTTTTCCTTGCAATAAATTTATTTCATTCAATGTTATATCATATACTCATATTAGAAACATAAATCCTTTTCTACCAGTGGGTATAACCTACCAGTTGTTTGCTTTTTTTGTGGAATAAACATTAGAGTGTACCTTGGCACAGCTGTAACACATTTTCACAGATATACTTAGCTGGCTCCAGTTATGTACGATGTGGTCACTCCCTAGCTAAATGTCATCTGTAGCTTGAACAATAGTCAGTAAAATAGCCCTAAGGAAGCAGCAACACAGAACAGTCTAATCTAGAGCCTATGGAATTAATTTGTATGTAGTATTAAAGAAGTGATAAAACATAGCCTTTAGGTTTACAAATCTTACCATATCTGATCCCCATATTTTTGGAATTTAATGGCTTTGATTTTCCACTATTTTTCATAGTATAGTATGATTGCTAGAATTTTGTGGTAGGAAAACAACAGATTTAAAATGATTATAAGTTCTCAGTTTGTAAAACCTAATTTTCAGGATATGCATGTCAATATAAATACTTTTATATCAAAATAAATTGTTATAAATGAATGAAATATTTGTCAATACCATTTATATTTAATTCAGCTAAATCATAATTTTTATTTTATGTATATTTTACTCAAATAAAAATAGAAATAAAAAGCAGATGAACATTTAGCAATAAACAGAAATGAAGAAGTAAATAGTTACACAAGATTTCCTTGAGGAAAAGAAGAGTCTAACACCTACTAGGGCCATTATTTTTTTTCTCTCCTTTAAATCGGTAAAAATTCCTTAAGACTTCAACCAATATCAATCAATTTGATTAAATATGAGCACTATGCTTTGAACACCAAAGTACATAAAATACTCAAGAACCAGCTTGTTCTTAATGTCCTTAATTTAATATCTCCAGTACAGTGGGTTCCATATGTGTTTCATCATCCATGTTTGTTTGAATCAGGAACTTTGGGTCAGACACTGCATTTTTATCAGCCCGAGAAAACAGTCTAAGGCTTCATAGGGTAGAAAGGATGGGAATGTGTTTGTATCTACATTCCATGGTCATGATCCAGCAGGGAAACAGCATAAACCAGCAACTAAAGAGGTACACGGTATATTTGGTAATGACTCTTGAAAGTTTTCATCCATGACATGAACACAAACAAGACAGAACGGGTAGCAAATGGGAAGATTCCTATGTGAAAATATCAGTTATGAGGAAGGTGAAATATCTGTTCCCGTCTGTAGCGGGTATACCAGAAATCTTATTCACAATTTGGATTACAATTATACTGGTTCTTGTGTGCCACACAAACTTTTCCTAGAAACCTTGCTGGGAGTGATGGGAGACGCCAGAAAAGACAACAGACAGAAGACCAAACATTCATAAAGCTGGGACCAGGTAGGCTGGGCGCTCAGATGGAAACACACCAACAACCTCCACTTCCAATGAGTTTATTATATACCATAGCAACATGAGGTAGAGAGGCACTTCTCAGAAGAGGGGGTGTTACACCATGATCCTCAGGAACAGAAGGAACCTATGTCAGCTTCTATCCAAAACATAAACATTAAAGAAAAACACAGTTGTACTGCATCTTGTCCACTTTGTCAGCTGAGGCTATGCCAAGTGAGCAATTTAGTGGGCTTATTTTTACCTGCTTCCTTCTATGGTTTGGGGCTGTGCCAAACTCAAACATGCAGCTTACTCAATACACCTATGGAGTTCCCAAAACTCGTTCAACATCCATAGATATCTCACCTCAAGCAAATCAATCTTTAAAATCATTTCCTAAGCATTCTGCAAGAATTACTAAGGTAAAGGTAAGAATATTGAAAAGCATGGCAGTGTTGTTGTACATCATGGACTATTTATGACTGCCTCCTATGATCCTTGTACCATGTACAAGTTACTGTGCTGGGTAACGTTAAATTTGACCACCATTATCCTCCAGAACATTTAAAATCACATTATTATTTTGAAACTTGTGTTAGGTTGCTAAGTAGCAAAGACAGAATCAATGTTTACATTTGACTATGTGCTTAAGGACACAGGGCATCATACAAAGAACATCCTAACAGGTCTTCACCTTGACAGGCCAATGAACAATTTCACATCCATCTCTCTCCAACAGGATATTCTATTTTCCTTATGTTTTTTATTACCTGGGTGTTGACAGAGTAAGGTACAGAAGAGTGCTGTGTAAGTTATTACATTTACAGGTAAGAAATAGTGTGTTTTATACTACTTGGATGGATATTAGTTAGTTTAGGTAAATTTCACAGAATGTTTTTGGATGCATAAAATAATACTGACATGGAAATATTCAAAAGAATCTCTATGCACAAATTATTTAAGATCTTTCCCTTAAGGATTTTTGTGTGGAAAATGGAAACATGTAGCATACCAAGCATTAAAATTCCACAAGTTAACTTTCAGATCTATATAAAATTTTAGTTTTAATACAAATATTATTAAATGTTTATATGTTGATATTAATAGTGGTTATTATTGCCAGCAATAATAGTATTCTTGAAACATTTTCTAGATTCCAGGAACAATTCTAAGAGTAACATTATCTTTTTTGTCAGAAAGTAACACAAGAATTTCAAGTGCAATTATTCTAGTTAAAATTATTTTTATCTGAAGTCAGAGCGACTGGATATTTGAAATATACAAGGTAAGAATATTAGTAAATGAGACTAAGGACAACTAGCTGTACAATATAATACATATTAGACAAGTTTCAAATATGGAATCTTAAAAAAATGGAAGTAGAGGAGAATTATTGGGTAGTAATGAAGGAACCAGTGGGAAGAAAGAAGAGCATAAGTGTTGGTAATGAGGGGGTTAATAGTCCCTTACTTGTCCAGACTTACTCAGGGAGCAGATGATGTTTCCAAGTGCTTTGTATGATACTTAAACATCTGATGTGTTTTAAATTGCTGCAGTTGTTGTTGTGGATAGGAGCAGTCTCTGATCAGATATCCAAATTATTTGTGTCCACGTGGAAGCATTCAGGTAGGACATGTGGGTATACTAAGGGTGGTAATGGCATTTATTAACAATTAAGGAGAAGAGTTAGAAAAGGTAATTGTGGGCCAGGTGGAAGTCAGAAGAAGAGAGAGTTTTTCTCTTTCTCAGGTGCTTTTAAAATACACAAGGGAAGAACCTGGTGATTTTAAACAACCAATAATTGATTAGTGGGACGGGAATGAGTGGTCCCAGGGTCAGATGTGGGTGTTTTGAGTTATTTGCAGTCCAGACAGTGCATAACCTGCACACATTTGCAATTGAAAATAAGGCTCAGAGAAAGAGAAGAATGTTCAACAGGATATACTAAATTAAGCCATTTATGTTTTAGATTCTCTAACTTACCTAAGTCTATCTTGCTTCAACTTCAAGGGGGAAGTACGGTTTTCATTTTGGATAAGTGATATATTTTTTGATATGTATAGCACACAACAATGGGAAAATATTACTCTAGAGTTAACTTGATATATGTAATGTTTAATTTTTTTGTAATGTATATTTTGCCCTAGTAAGAAATGTAATTAATAGCTAAGGGACCTGAAAAATATGCAGAATTTATGAAACTGTAAAGAACACAAAATTTTCAGTTGATTAGAAGAAGAGCTTAAAACATAGTTTAGATATTCGTTTTCTCATATTCTTCCTATGTTAGAATGTCTTTAGAAACTGTCCATTATTAACCAATTTGGCTAATTATAAGCTTCATGTATTCAGTCTCTAAGGTCATTTAATAGGCAATAAGTCAGCCTGTACTTCTTGGATTTCAGTTTAATATCTCCAGTATAGGTGCTTCTGTATATGTCTCCTCCTCCATTGCAGTCTGCAACTGGAAGATTCTATGTGAATCTTCCACATAGGTAACATTCATTGGGCATCAAGTATGGGAAGGTCTTTAGACCAGCTTACTTTTGTCATGACGAAACAGAGAAACAGTATATCCCTGTAAGTACTGAGGGATGGATGTAAGAAAAGCTTTTGGAATAATTATTTCATCATCATAGGAACATACATGACCATACAGATGCCAGATTGGAATTTACCAATATAAAACGTATATTTTTCAGGTTTGTTAACTTTATGTTCTTTGCTGTGTTTGAATACCAGAAAACATACTTCAATATTTCTTACTACCTATACTTGCTCTAAATTCCATAGATGTCTTATTCAATTTAACAACTACTGGGTCATAAACTACATCTAAGTATTTCTAAAGGACTATGACAATGATGATGGGAGTAGGGATGACAGTAACTACATTATGAAACGTTATTTAGATACTCCTACTGGTTGGGTGGCTCTGAGCTCTGTGTTCTATGTAGTTCTTTTCATTTCATGTGATTCAAATTCCTATAAAAGCATCCACATAATTATTATCTTACAAAAATCAAAGACCACATTATTTTAATAAGTTATAGAAGGTACTAATGAATAAACCCGTTCTTGAATTGGGATGACTGCTTATAACCATTTTTGCAATAAACTTACAGGTTAATTGGTACCCTTTACTCAGGTAATGTATTCTGTCAACTACCACTTTTTCACATGTTTTATTGTTATATTATTATTGTATTGAGGATACATTGTGGTATTTACAAAAGTTATTACAATATGTCATAGTTGAACTCACCCCATCCATAATTCTCCTTCCTCATTCCAGGAATAGTTTCGTCTGGACTTATTTTTTCATTTTCATACATGAATACATAATATTTTCAATACTTCATTCTCCTACACTCTTTCCTTATATTTTCCTCCATCCCATTGGCACCAACCCCAAGACAAGACATGTTTTACTTTCCTGTTCTGTTTTTGAAAAAAATACATTTTTCTTTTTTTAAGATGAGCTACAGCCCTTGAAATGAATGTATTTAGTTCTAGATGAACATATTTCCCAAGGAATGTTACAGCACTTACTGATATAAAGTAGTACATTTCATGAGCAATAGGTATTTTGTTACATACAATTTAGATTTTTTGGAAGTACTGGGGTTTGAACTGAAGGTCTCCTGCCTACGTACTCTCAGGTCTAACCCCTGAAGCCACACACTCAGTCATCTTTTTGATTATTTGTGTTTTGGATAGGCTCTCATCTTTCTGTCTGGGTCTTGCTTCAGATTGTGATCAACTAGATCTCTGCCTCCTTTCTAGCTAGGATTGCTTGAGTATAACACAATCCTAGCTGAATTTAAGGTACTTTTTAGGTAGCTTTGTAGGAAAATTTCTAAATACATAATTCAAAATTGACATAGAAATCATGAGAATAAAATTAATCCACCTGAAATATTTCTGTTTATGACAGATACATAGGAGAATGGAATTATTTAAATATGCATCAATCATATTCCATAAGAAGTTTGAAAGACCTATATAAAATATTACTGGGGATGTATATACTATTAATCTTAAATGTTAATATAGTCATTTTGCATTATCTAGTGTAATAATAGTATTCATGGAGGAGCATTTTCACAATGTCAGAAAATAAGATATGACAGCAGTTCACAAATATGGTGATATTCTGATGAAATTGTTACTGCTCTGAGGACAATGTATCCGAGTATTTTAAATATACACATGCAAATATATAAGGAAAACACAATGAGAATAATCAATTATACAATGCATAAATATTTAAAACCCATTCTTACATGCTACTATAAAGTACATAATTATTATACCCATTTTACAGTTTAGGGGAAAATGCTATCTGCAGGCATTATTTCATGGACTTTGTTATTTATATTTTCACAATTAAGTGATATAATTATTCCTGGCACAATTTGAGCCCATGTTTCCCTCATGTAGCTGAAAGAAGAAAATTTTTAATTTATGCATATGAATGATTACTGTTAAAACATATTAAGTGGAAATAAGATATGGACTCAAACCTGGACTTGGCACTTTCCTTTGTGCTAAATTATTAAATGTAAATGGGGTGGCTTCATATCAGAAAACAATGAGGAATATTGCCTTGCTATAATAGACCATATATTGAAGAGTAAAAAAGAGTATACGATACCTAATGTGTAGAGTTGAAACAAATAAACATGCAAAAAAGATAAGTAATGTCAATGGTGCTTCTTATTGTTTACTGTTTTTAATTAAGGATAGGTGCAGTGTGTGCTAATGCTACATCTGTAGTCGGTATGCAATATGATTATGTGCATTTTATTGAGACATCATATAAAAATCTTAAGTTCACTAAAGGCACAGAACTTAATAATAAGTAATTAAAAATATATAAACATAATGTGTGAGAAAAATTACATTCTGGAAAGCAGGAGATCAAAACACATAAGAATGATGAAAAAATCCTGGGAGATAAGTGACACACCAAATGTTTTCTGATTGTCTGCTTATAAATGGTGCAAGGGAAGGAATTTGTATAACTTTTCTGAAGTGAAAATTAGATATATTGGACTGACTCTTAATTTGCTTCATTGAGAATGATAGTTTAGCTAAAGTGGTTGGATATGAAATATTCCCTATTTGTAAAAAATAGATTTTATTTTACCATTATCACCTACTTTATTAATTTTATATTCTTGACCTCTAATACTGTTATATGTTCTAAAGTAAATAAGTATAGAAAGATGGATAGCAAAGCCCCACAAAGTGATGGACTTCTGGACAACTGGGTTTGTCACAAAGGAGACATGTTTCTTATGACTTGAACTTCAAGAGTGAATTCTAACTTGTGAATGCTTGAATTCAAAGCACAGACAGATTCTTTAGTATTTTAATAATTTCATCTTTTTTTCAAATTTCTATTTCAATAGGTGCCCACAAAATACAGATGCACAAAATCTAACACTTGTCTCAGAATTTCATCTTATGAGATTCTCAGAAGATCCAGAACTGCAGTGCATCCTTTTTGGTTTGTTCCTGTTCATATACCTGGTCACAGTACTTGGGAACCTGCTCATCATCGTGGCTGTCAGCTCTGACTCACACATCCACACCGCCATGTACTATTTCCTGTTTAACCTGTCTTTGACTGACATCTGTTTATATCCACCACAGTCCCAAAGATGATTGTGGACATCCAAACTAACAGAAGATCCATTTCCTATGTGGTTTGCGTGACACAGATGTCTTTTTTTCTGATTTTTGTAGTCATGGATGACATGCTTCTCTCTGTGATGGCCTATGACCGGTTTGTGGCTATCTGTCACCCCCTGCATTATCCAGTCATTATGAATTGTCGCTTCTGTCTTGTCTTAGTTTTGGTGTCATTTTTGTTTAGTCTTTTGGACTCCCAGTTGCACAATTTCATTGTCTTACAATTTACCTGTTTTAAGGATGTGGAAATTTCTAATTTATTCTGTGACCCTTCTCAACTACTCAATCTTTCCTGTTCTGAAACCCTTACAAATAGCATAGTGATGTGTTTTGTAGGGGCAATATTTGGATTTTTCCCCATCTCAGGGATCCTTTTCTCTTATTACAAAATTGTTTTTTCCATTCTGACAATATCTTCATCAAGAGGGAGGTATAAAGCACTCTCAACCTGTGTATCACCTAACAGTGGTGTGCTTATTTTATGGAATAGCCATTGGTGTGTACTTTGATACAACTATATCACGTTGTCCAAAGCAAATTGTGCTGGCATCATTAATGTACACTGTAGTCACTCCTATGTTCAACCCCTTCATCTATAGCCTGAGGAACAGAGACATTATCAGAACTATGAAGAGATTCCACTGTAGGTTAATGTAAACTCAGGAAGTGTGACATCCAATTGTAATGACTATTGGTTTGAAAATGTAGCCAACCTGAAGACATAGATGTATAAATATTGGTTCTCATTCTCATAATTTAAGACTGTTTCAAATATAATGGTTTAAGAGGTAGAGGACTGAGTGCAAAATTTGAGATTGAGATGAAATTTTTTATGTTTATTTCAGAAAAACTCAATTCAATTAATGCCCCCAAACTGTGCACTGAAAATGGTTAAAATGCTCCTTTTTTGTGTGAATTTTATGACAATAAGCAATGCAAACAAAAAGCCTATTTATTTTAAAATGGAAGAAATGAATAAACTGAATTGCCCACCTGAACTTACTGCTGAGTAGAGGAAATCCCTGAGACATTTGTTGCCTATTATTTTTCTGCATTAATATTAAACCATCCTTAGTAATTGGGATAATGAAGACCTGTTTGAGTTGTCATTATCTTTGGGGTTTGAGTCTCCAATGAGCAGTGACAGTAAATAATAGACATTTTGTTTAATACTTAACATTAATGTGTCCAGGCACTAAACCCATGTCTCTTTCACCTGTGTGAAGCTACCACATGGCAATGTTCATATCAATCTTGAGTATTGGGCCTGAACTTTAATTGGCCATCAGGCAGGAGAGGAGTTTGTGGATCCATATTCTTTGTTCATGACATAGCAGAGACACAAATTCACGACAAAAATGTTGTGGAGAAGAAGGATGGAGGCAGGTCTTAGGAAATCATTGCTCTATAAATATAAGGACAAACATGAAAGTTGGGCGGTAAGATGAGAGGATACCAGTATGTAAATGAATCCCCATGGATGCAAATTTATGTGAATGCTTATCATAAGAGTCCAAAACTCTCATTCCCTGTTGTTGGTTTCTTTGTTTTTAGTACTGTGGTTTGAGCTCCAGGCTTCATGCTTACTAGGTTGGCACTGGAACACATGAGTCCCTCACCCTTTTATGCTTAAGTTATTTTTGGACAGTGTCTCATTTGTTTTCCCTGAGATTGACCTGAGACCATGTTTCTCCTACCTAGTGTCCCATGAAGCAATGATTACAGGCTTGATCCATCATCCCTGTTTGTTTGATTAAGTAGATGACCTTCATTACCTTTTGTCAGAGTTGGCACCTAAATGTCCTATCCCTGCCTCCTAAATAGCCACAATTACAAGTAAGCAACACCATGCCATGAACTTTATTTTTCCATACTGGGTTTGAATCTAGGGCCTTAATCTTGGGGGGGAGTAGATTTTTATGTAATTAGGAAAAAAATAATGAATATATGTTTGAATTGTGCAGTACGATTTCAGACACAGCATCTTATCAGGAAAATCCTGGCATTTTGCACCTCTGACAACCCAAACAACCTATTTACTTCCCTGCTTTTTCAGGATATAACCACTTTCTCACAGCCTTGCTCATTTTCAGGGTTCCAATGAGATTACAGAGGTGAGCTGGGGGAGACAGCTGCTGCTTCAGCTCGAGAAAGGGTGTCTGAGATGAGGAGCACAGATCATAGAAAGAGCAGTAAAAATTAACATAAATCTCTCTTGTCCACTTCAGGATATCCTTGCAGCTATCCACACTCTACTCCCATCTTATAATCATACTTCCCGTTCTCCTCAGGATACATAAATTCAGGATATTTTTTGCTCTTGCTTACTAAATTGGAATGTATTTAATATTCTTCAGACAGGTCTGTTGTTTAGACATTAAGACCTATGCTCTTAGTGTTATGGTAAACAAGGAAAAAGTTTAATTGGCAGAATTATAGGCATGTACTCTTTATTTCTGACACTATACTTATTCATTTTCTGATATAGAACAGGCCTCTAATATCTCTGATGCTTAGCATGGATATGAAGTGTTTCCAGTTGATACAACTGTATTGAGGATGATTAAACAGAAAATAATTTCTTGCTATGTTGCCAATTGGTGCTGAATGGATAATATAAGGTAAATATGACTTCATTATTTTAAATCAAATGAATGAAATGATTAAACTTCACAAAAATTAGACTGAAGTGCCCATATTCTTATTTGTGTAATGGGTGTGTTATTTTTTTCATCATAAAAATTTTATTCATTCCCCAGATTGTATATATACCTGGCACACGGAATTCAAGAAAGATATATCCATTCTGAAATATTGAATAGTTTCTACATTGTTCACCAGTGAATGGTCACCATAAGTGAGCTTTCAAAATACTTGGTGCTTTCATCTAGGAACTTTCATCCTGGTAGCAGTGACCTACAAAGATACAAACAATGTGAAATATTCAATATTTGTGTTTACATCATGCACATTTGAACAGTGTAAGCTCCATTTAGCAATGTCTATAGCTTTTAATTATTCCATGGCAAAGATTTTTGTGGGTGTAAATAGAGAAAACTTATAAAAAAGGATACAGGTAAACTTTTGGTCTTCTTAGTATTGAGAGATTTTGATTAGTAATTTGAATACCCTGTCACACAATATATTTGCCTTACATTTTCTCTACATTAAAGACATGGAAATTTCCAATTTGTTCTGTGATCCTTCGGAATCGCATAACCATTTACATTCTATGTATTCTTATATAACTTTACTATCTTGTCTGAACAATATTGAATGTTTTTCTTCACGCTGTGAATTTGTTTATTCCACTAATTCCATTATCAGGTGGGAAATATAAAGCCTGCTCCTCTTTTAAGGTCTTATATTTCAGGTGTTTATTTTATGGAGCAAAGGGGGAATTTACATAAATTCACCTCTATTACAATCCCCTGAAGTTATTTGGGAGTGTCAGTAATTACATTGTGGTGATTCCTATGCTGAATATTTTCATGTAAAATATAAGGAAAGTAAAAGTGTCCTGAGAAGCAAATAATATATATACCTCTATCCCATGTTTATTGTGGAACTCTTCAAAATAGTCAGGAATCAGCATAGGTGTCCATCGTCATAAAGACAAATAAATTGTGGCACCTCTAGACAAAATAGAGTATCATTCACTCATAAGAGGGATGGAATTATGTCAATAACATGAAAATGGATAGTGCTGGTGATTACCAAGTTTAGTGAAATAAGCCAGACACAGAAAGTCAAATAGGAATTATCTCATAGCCATAATCTAGATTTAAAAAAAACACATGAAAGCAGAAATTGGTCTATTTTTGGACAGTAGAGAATATGTGAAGTCATGTATGCATTGAACTATATTATTACAGATAACTAACCAGGACAATTCTAGTAGGTCTTGACACTTAATGAGTCATTTTACTTACCTATCACTCCAGGAAGAGTTCCTCCTTCCTATGCATTTCCATTTGGTTGTTTGTGCTAGAACATGAGACAGATCAGTGTGTGACACCTGCTAAAATAATTATAGAAGAGAGCTGCCTCTTAGGAAAATATTACAGAAAATGAAGGCACATGGTCATTAAGCCCTGAGCTCTCTATGATCCCCATGCCAGGAAAACTTTGCAAATGTCCATATCCTCTGCATTCTTATAATAATCACACTCAGTGTCCAAAGGATAAATTTTGTAATGGATCAGTAGAGTGGTTTTTAGAATAACAATTAATATTAATTTAAGAACATCTGAGTTGAACATGTGATTATGAAAGCTATACCTCTGCTTACAACATTATAAATGTTCTAAACAAAGAAAAATATTCCTTTTACCCATAGATGCAGTAGGCAATTTGGAATATTGTTGGATCAACATTTTGCTTCTATGAAAGGAGGATTTCAAAATTTCTGAGACACAGTATTGTCATTTGAGTTCACTTCAAGTTGGAACAACTGTATTTACTAAGAACTGTGGGATATGGATCCTACCTAAATGTTTAACATATGATGAATACATAAATAAGGAAATAATTAAATTAGATATTAGTTGATGTGACTTCAGCACACTTTGTGGTATCTGTCAGCACTTTGCTTACCTTTCAGGAATGTCCCAAAGAACTACAGACAATATAAGATATTTCTTTTAATTTACATGTAGAATATGTTTTAATAGTGTAACTGCCCTATGGAACTCAGGGGGTGGAGGGAAAGGATAGTGAATGATAGAGCATTAATAATATGGAAATATATGACACCTATGAAGGTAGAGTTGATAACAATATGTACGGAAAGTTGTTGAAAAATGGTGTGTGGGAGGAAATGGATAAAGGACAGTAATGGAAGGGTTTGAACTGATCAGAGTAATGTATCCTCACAGGGGATTCATCCAGAAAACACTTTGTATATTGACTTTGGAATTAATGAATTCAGTACTCTAAAAAAAAGTATGGCATGTGTTGGGAGGAATTCTTGTGGGAGTGGGGGTAAATTAAGGAGATGAAGTTAAGGGAATATGATTGATGAATTTCATATGCTTATATGAAATAGAAAAATGAAACCTCCCTCAATTGCTTTAAAAGGGACAGGGAAGGGGTTGCATGAGGAAGATGGTGGGGATGATCTAACCAATGTACAATGTAAATCTATTCAATATTGTCACAATGAATCCCCCCTATGCAACAAATATATCCTAGTTTTAAAAAATCTTTGTCATCACTCAAGGAAGCGAAGTCAAAAAAATCAAAAAGATAGATCTTTTCTGTGTGTTTGTCATGGATATGTGGTTGCTAAATTCCTATCAAAAACTTTCGGATATTCAGAGATCAGGGCAGAAATTTTCATGTCTTTAGAAAATGAAAATAGGAACAATGAAAAGGCCTGGGGTGATGCCCATTTTAAGTGCTGCATGAGGTCCATTTTAGGCTTTTACATATTTCCCAGATTCCACAGTCCTTTAACAATTGCACTCCTCTGTAAACTCACTGATCCTTAATGGTTGAATTATCTATTATAAAAGCACAAGATTTATTAGTTTCAAAATGACATTACTTGGCATATACTTTGTTGAGATGGGTATGATTCTCCCTATGTCCACAAAAAGCAGAAGGAAGAAAGAAACCTGGAAAGATGAACATACATTGAACATATTTTAGCATCT